TCATACTTTTACAACTGGCAAATTCGGCGTAAAATGTAAATTAAATGATCTGATTAGTCAATTGCTACAGAAATTGTAAGTGGCAGATATTTGCAAACATTTCTTTAGCTTTGTTCCGTATTTACTGCGAAGCTAAGATTTTTTTCTCGTTTTAACAACTGCAGATCTTGTTCTGCTGTAAATAAATGGTGCTAACTGTAAATATCAACGAAGCTTGTCTTGAGTGGTTTGGTAAAAAAATAGATCTTTTTAGCAGTAAGAGGAATAACTTCCGGGAAGTCCTAGATATTTTTACAAATAAACTTCCTTTCTTTCAAGATTCTACTTTTAAGTATTTAACCTTGGCAGATAGGGGTATCTTGATTAGTTTGCGAGTACTTTTCATCTGCGGTTTAGTAGGTGTTGCTGCGACCACTCGCGAAAAAACACTGCAAATTCCTTGTTTGCATTGTTCATTTTCCACTATAGAGAAACTGTAGGTTACTGTAGCTCTCTAACCGGAAGCTTTCGGGGTGCGGGGGAGGGAGTTGCAGCGCTGACCACCTGAGTGGACAAAACTCAGACACAAAAAAGGGATCAAACTTTGAGAGAATTAATATTCATGACGTTATCATTGACAACGGCGTTATCATTAGATGATTTGGCTTTAAATTTTTATTTGGCAAATTCGTTGTTTGCATTGTTCAACTTCCTATTTTTTCTAATCCTTATTTCGTTTCCACGTGACGGCTTGAGTTTTTTTTCAGAGGATCAAGATGTTACACGGTTCTTGTGGGTGAAAGAGATCGCTAAGCCTTTAGGGCAGGACAATTTGTTCGTTTGTCAATTTGCCAGGGTATTTTTTGAAGTTTTAAGCAGCTTATTCCTTCTCGCAGCCGTCATACAACATCACCTCAAGCGAGATAAATCATGGTTAGCCAATGCTATTTGAGAAAATCTTTACGTGGACAATCTGTTGATTGGTACAGAAAATGACGATGTCAAACACAAAAGAGAAGAAGAGGCTGAACGCATAATCAAAGCTGCATTTATAAACCTTAGAAGCTTCGCTTTGAACGATCCAGAGGTCACGAGTATAATACCGAAATCGGATCAGGATACTGAAGTGGAGCAATCGCTTTTGGGGCTTATCTGGAACAGGGAAAATGACACCTCAAGTATCCAGCTGAAAGCGTTTGAGGGAAGCACGAAGCGAGAACTGGCACAATTTATTGCCAATCATTTCGATTTGTTAGAATTATTATTTCCAATATTTCTTTTCTGGAAGGTATTCTGTCAAGAGCTATGGATCGACAACGTTCAGTGGGATAACAAATTCTATCAAATCTGAAGAACAAGTTAGAGGTGCTGCATGGCGAATAACGGTTCCACGCCAAGCGCTGAGTCGGCAGTCATCGGTGCAACTTCACTTTTTTGTCGACCTGAAACTAAAATGTTTCAAAACTGCAAAAAAAAAAAAAAAAAAAAAAAAAA